GCTCTTATCAAGTACATGGTCCTCACTCAATTCTCTACACAGTTTTAACTGTTCGGGGCCCTCCTTGCAGAAATGGCACCATATCAATTTGCATGAGCCAGCTTCATCTTCTTCCTTGGTTTTGGAACTGGCCCATTGATGGTGCATAGTGTAAATAGATGAAAGGTACATACACACAGATATAAATTATAAAATTGTGGTGTGCTGCACTTATTCAATCCAAAGGTGTCAAGTTAACAAGCAATGTCCATCAATTGGTATATCAATCCATAAATAGTCTATGCATTATTCACTTTCTCAAAATTCAAATGCTGTGAGCGTGGAAAATGTAAACAACGTGCTTTTCTCCCTTTGGGGGAAAAATTTGCTCACCTTATGACCAGACCCAAGAGCTATAGGTCACGTGTGCTAGTTATTCAATAACATTTTTTAAGTGGCTCCTCCGTCCAGAACTCCCTTAAGGGTCCAAGACATGAAAGTCCACCCAAAAATAAAACATATAATTCATAGTGCAACACTGCATGAAACAATATATTTCAAACAGTATCAATCTATGCAGTCACGTTCACTTTTATGAAACGTGTTCTCAAACCATCTCTTCAAGTGTTATAAATAGTGTATATTCCAAAATGTCACCTCCAAACGTGCTCACTTCCCCGTCACCATAATGTGCAATGCAGGCTCACCTTCTCTTTTGACCTATATTATTCTTATTGTTATACAGTATTTATATAGCGCCAACAGTTCGCTCAGCGCTGTACATTACAATGGGAGACAATACATGAGACAGTACAATAACAATACAATGCGATACACGAGGGGTTCGAGGGCCCTGCTCCTTGGAGCTTACAATCTAGGAGGGAGGGGATAGTGGTATGGGAGGAAAAGCTGTGGGGGATGGAGTGGTAGGAAGAGTGGAGGGGATCGGCAATTAGCAGAGGGCTGGGTAGGCTTCCCTGAAGAGGTGGGTTTTCAGGGTGCGCCTAAAGGAGAGGAGAGTAGGTGATAGTTTGATGGATTGGGGTAGGGAGTTCCAGAGGATGGGTGATGCCCTGGAGAAGTCCTGGAGGCAGGCATGGGAGGAGCAGATTAGGGAACTAGAGAGAAGGAGGTCTTGTGAGGAGCGGAGAGTGCGTTTTGGGTGGTATTTGGATATTAGGTTGGTGATGTAGTTTGGGGCAGAGTTATGGACAGCTTTGTACGTCAGTGTTAGCATTTTGAATTTGATCCGTTGGACAATCGGAAGCCAGTGGAGGGAATGGCAGAGGGGGGTGGCAGAAATGGAGCCGTTTGTAAGGTGGATGAGTCTGGCCGCTGTATTCAGGATCTACTGAAACAGGGATAGCCTGTGGTGAGGCAGGCCAGTGAGTAGGGAGTTTCAGTAATCGAGTCGTGATATGATGAGGGAGTGGATGAGTTGCTTAGTAGTTTCTGGGGTTAGGAATGGGCATATTTTGGAGATGTTGCGGAGGTGGAGTCTGCATGAGTTTGTTAGCGAATGGAATGGGGCTGGAAGGATAGATTGGAGTCAAGAATGACACCAAGTACTCTGGCTTGAAGGGTGGGCCTGATGGTGGCATTGTTAGACGTGATGGAGAAGTCATTGGGGGGGGGGGGGGGGATGTGCGCGGGCTGGGGGGAAGACTAGGAGCTGGGTTTTGGAGAGGTTCAGTTTGAGGAAGTGGAGCGATATCCAATCTGATATGTCGTTCAGTAGGCTAGTGATTTGGGCAGAGACTGAAGGGGTGAAGCGAGGGGTCAAGAGATAGATTTGCGTGTCGTCGGCATAGAGGTGGTAGTTGAAGCCGTGAGAGTGTATGAGTTGGCCAAGGGAGGAGGTGTAGATGGAGAAGAGAAGGGGCCTGAGGACAGAGCCTTGAGGGACCTCAACAGAGAGGGGGAGTGAGGGGGAGGTGGCAGCGTTATAGGTAACGCTGAAGGAGAGTTGTGATAGGTAGGACGAGAGCTAGGAGAGAGCGGAGTCTCTGAGGCCAAGGGAGTGTAGTTTTTTGAGGAGGAGGGGGTGGTCGACTGTGTCGAAAGCCACGGAGAGGTCGAGGAGTAGGAGCACTGAATAGTGGCCATTAGCTTTGGCGGTTAGCAGGTCGTTGGTGAGTTTGAGTAAGGCAGTTTTGGTGGAGTGTAGGGGACGGAAGCCGGACTGTAGGGGTCGAGGAGGTTGTTGTCGTTGAGGTGGGAGCTTAGGCGATTATAGACTAAGCTCTCAAGGAGTTTGGATGTAAATGGCAGCAGGGAGATGGGTCTAAGGTTGTTCGGGTCGGTGGGGTCCAGGGAGGGCTTTTTAAGTATGGGAGTGATGTGCGCGTGCTTCAGAGGGGAGGGGAATGCACCAGAAGAGAGGGAGAGATTAAAGATGTGGGTGAGGGAGCGTAGGATGGAGGAGGAGGGAGATCGCAGGTGTTGTGAGGGGACAGGGTCGAGGGGGCAGGTGGTGAGGCGGGCTTCAGAGAAGACCTTAGTGACCTCCTCAGTGGTAGTAAGGTTGAAGGAGTGGAGTGTTGAGGGGGCTTCAGTGTGAGGGATGTTAGGTGGGGTTGAGGTCTGGTCAGTGGTGAGGCCAAGGGAGAGGGGTGTTCAGGGGGTTAACGTGTGAGAGGTGATCGGTGGGGTGGAAGCCTGAGCAGTTGCGATGTCCCTGCGAATTGTGTCAGTCTTGTTTTTGAAGTGATTGGCAATCTCATGGGCGGTGAGGGAGGTACTGGTTGTAGGTGGGGACGGAGAGAGTTGAAAGTAGAGAAGAGCCGGTGAGGATTGGAGGAGAGGGTATTGATGTGAGTCAGAAAGTAGGCTTGTTTGGCAGTGTGGAGGGAGGAGGTGTAGGTGTGGAAGGCAGATTTATAAAGGGTGAATGCTAATTGGGATCTGGTTTTGCGCCATAGTCGCTCCAGCGCACAACTGCGTCCTTTGAGAGTTTTGGTGAAACCTACATATCCATAGGTCATAATCACATTCAATTTCTCCAACTCTGTGTGTCCACCTCCTCCTGTTAGTAACTGCTTCACCTTTCCTGTGCCTTTAAGCTATGTCTGCCTGGGTAAATGTTACTCAAGGGAAGAACAAATACTCCATAGTGCAATCCCATATAATAAATAGATTTATTACAGCCAAATTCTCCCTCACGAAAATAAAAAACCAAAAAACTACTCTACATACACAGATGTTTGTAGGGACAAAGGGGCTCTAGCATAAAACTCCCAGCATTTTTCACACCTAGGAAGCTACAGGTGCAAGTACAACCACCAATGTAAATGCCAATGCTCTTCTGCATCTCCAATCATCCACGCATGGGAATGACACATTTTCCAAATGTGAAAGTTTGCATTTGGGAAAATACATGTGACATAGGAAAATGGACTCATGTAATCCCTGTAGGTAGCCTGATGTAAAGGGTCTGCATCCAACCACAGCTGGTCATTACAGTAACAGAAGACAAGGACATAAACCTTTTCCAGCCTGTCTGATGAACCTGACCAGAGCCAGATGGGGAAGAGGGGGGGGGGGGTGTAGGGAAAGTGCATGTCAAGCCATCCATAGTGATACATTGTAGTCTATTTTTTGATCTATGTAGTGAGCCAAAAACTGTTTAACAAAAGCCCATGTGAAAGGGGCCTTGACATGCACTGTGTATTCAGAATTTGTAACTACTTTGATTGGATCAAATGTTTTTTTTTTTTTTTTTTTTTTTTTATAATAACAAACATGCTATACTTACCTGTTCTATACAATGGTTTTGCACAGAGCAGCCCTGATCCTCCTCTTCTGCAGTCCCCCGCTGGCACTCCTGGCTCCTCCCTCCCATCAAGTGCCCACCATAGCCACCCTCTTTCTATGGGGCACTTGTAAAGGCTATAGATACACAGAGCACAGCTTGGCCCTACTCCCAGCTCCCTTGTCATTGGCTGTGATTTACAAAGTTGGGGCCAAAGTTTCCCTCTGCTGTCTCTGAGCCAATGAGAAGGGAGAGAGTTCAGAGAACCTCAGCTCTTGTGCATGACGCTGGATTGAGATCGGCCTTAGGTATGTATAAGGGGGGGCTGGGGGGGGGGGGAGCTGCATGCATTACCTTAATGCAGAGAATACATTAGGGGAAAAAAAACCTTGGGCACTGGTGTATAGGTAGGTTGCCTATTGTGAGCTAGTTAGCAGGGCTGCCCTAGCAAAGGGGAAGGGGTTAATGACTTTTGTCTCCATTCCAGATCTAAATTCACAGGCTTTCTGGGTCTGACACACCAGTCTTGCATTATTATAAAAGGGACAGGGGTCCAGGTCCAAGAGCCTAGCCAAAGCCTTGAGTTCCAAAGAGCTGCTGCTTGAGAAGTAGACGCCAACTCATTGGAACACCAGCATCTGTGGACTTTGCCTATACTACCACTATGGACTTTGCCACACTTAGAGTCAGGTTTAGTTAAGGAAAGGTTGTTTTGCTCTGTTGTAACTGTCATGCCAAGTTTACAATAAAGCTTTGAAATGTTGTCCTGCCTGGTGTGAAGTTATTCAAAGGGGTGTATGAAAGTAACTGGCACTCTGCAGATCATCTGAAGCTTGGGTCAGTTAAAGCACATTGAGGTATGAAAACAGCTTTTCAATAGTTAACATGTTACGGAGTTAAAGAAAGTAGTTTCCAAGGGTAACTGAAGTCTAGTAATCAGTACAAGCAGCCTGTTGTGCAGCGTGGGGCCTGTGCCAGGCAAGGTTTCCTTTGGTAGCGAGGGGGTTGCCTCTAGGACTCCCTCCCCTAGCAGTCCATCTCCCAAAGCAATGGGAGCAGATCAGCATCATGGAGGCCCTCAGCCGGGCCACCAGGTACAGGACCAGGGGCGGACTGACAACTCATGGGGCCCCCGGGCAATAGGGGATCATGGGGCCCCTTTGTCCTTGCCCAAACTCAAAAAAGCCTATGAAAAAGGTACCAGGGGCATCTCATGGGGCCCCCTACTGACCCCGGGCCTTCGGGCAGTGCCTGAGTTCCAAATGGTCAGTCCGCCCCTATACAGGACAGAGTAAAAAGACTCACAAGTGGCTCAAAGTGGCCCTCCTACATGTAACAGTTACAGTCAAGGTGTGCATTGACATGGGCCCAGAGGGTTTACTGGAGTCCTGTTTATTCGCTCAGTGTACATAGTGTTCGGTCATTTCAAAGTTTGAGGACTTAAGGTTGAATATCCCTGAAAACTGTCTCTGCGTTGTTCCGAGACATTTTTGGGTACGACACAGCAAAAGTATCCCACGTGCAGGGTGAGTGACCCTGTTCACGGTCCAGAAGAACCTGATGGGCTCATAGTCACTTGGAACAGTCAACATCCAACAGACGATCAGGTGCCCCTTAAATGCGGCTTGTTATACACAAATTCTTGCTGCACTTTTTTTTTTTATGTTTTTTTTTCAGTTTGTATGTTTTCAAGTCCAGGACAGGTGCATACTGTTTACTTTGAGTGGCATATACTTTTTTGAAGAGTTAATATTTATTAAAACTGTTTTCAAGTTTATTTTGGCTGGCTTCTTAAAATGTACTTACCAACTTTTTTTCTATTTGGATTTGACTGCTTTCCACTGCTTCTACGTAATCATTGGTAGTACAAAATGGAGTCTGTCTGGCATTTACAGAAAGAGAGAATCCTTATTTTAGAGATTATTGGGTATGTTTCTCCAGGTCTTTTGGCAATGCTGCCAATCTGCCTGTGTGTAAACAGAGTCTGCCTTCTGTACAGGATCCAGGGTGACAGGCTCAGCAGTGTATTTTCATTTTTCTGGATAAAATCAGCCTTGTACTGTTGACCAGTGAAACATGCTACATAGTTTCAAGTAGGACACCTAGTCCATCTCTTTACTTGGCTCATTGTTCTACAGAAAAGAAAGAGTCCTCCTGTGTGTACAACATTTTCCCCATCTCCATCTAAGTTATCCAATAATAAAATCACCAAAAAGAGAATACCCCTGGACTGTTCATTAAGCCAAAAGAGTGACTGAGACCATGTGCGTGGCTGCAGGGCAGTTATTGGGGAAAGAACCCTGGGCATCTTTCTAAGGGCTCCTACAAGGGAAGCGCTACAAAGGGAACAATAATGATCAATGTTAATGTATTGTTTTAAAAGTGTTTCAACTGATGTTTCATAGTGTTTCTTTTAACTCTCCCACACTCCCACTAGGAGATTTACTAAAACTGGAGCACACGGAATCTGGTGCAGCAGCACATAGTAACCAGTCAGCTTCTGTGCCAGTTCACATACTGTATATGCAGATTGGATGTGGTTTGAACCGCATCCAATCCGCATGACATGTGAAACAACATTGCTTCCTTTGGTGCCTGTTCACATATGTCTGATGCACTGGCGGTTCAGATTCAGTGTGGTTTGAAAAAGAATCATGTACGGTTTCTGAGCAATGCCTTCAGGTTCAGGTGCAGATTACAGGCTATTGACTTCTATGGGAACCGTGTCTAAACTGCATATGTGTGAACAGGATAAGATCCTGAGCTAATCCTGTCCTGAACCTGATGTAAACCTGACATAAACTGGTAAACAACTACTGTATTAATTAGTTGTGAAACCTGAACTGCAATCCACATCGCACATGTGTGAATCAGCTCTCCAGGTTTTATTGTCAAGGCTTAATTGAACAAGATGAAGTTAGAAGGTGATTGGTTACTATGCACAGCTGCATCAGATTCTGTTGTACCAATTTTTGTAAATCTCCCCCATGGCAATCTCGCTCTATCCAAAACAAAGAAATTTATATTTGAAGTACCAACAACCATTAATGTAGATACCTTATTTATAATTCCCAAGTACAAGGGAAATATTGTATTAACAGTAACACATTGTTTACAGTATTTATCATACATATTTTAAATGATTATTATATTTTTAAAAGCTTGCTTTTCTATGTTTTATTACTCTATTAAATTTGGAGATTTGGAGATTAGCAGCTTAAAGGAAGTTCTTAGACTGGCCATAGGTGGGTCATATTTGAGATATAGGTGGCCCTGCAAGTGCCACTCAGCTGAATAAAAATCAATTTAAAAATTGACTGAGCCGGTTGTTAAATTATTGGCTGAACAGGGCCGCATCCTATCAGATGCAGTCACTATTAGTCAGCACCACTATATTCAGGCAAGACTGGATTTCAGAGTTTGGATATCACCAGAACATTATCTGACTGGAATTTATATATCTTAATATAATCATGTAAATGCCCTACCAGATACTCCAGGAACAAAGACCTAGGAAAGACCTAGAAGAAGCAAAGGAAAAAAAATGATGGTGATTGGGGACGGAGCAGCAACTGCAATTCTTGTCCTGGCAGCACTGGAGAAAGTCACTCTTTTAGGTAAGTGGACAATGAAGTGCAAGTATTCTGTGCATACATAGTCATTGTAGCAAGAGCACAAACCAAAAACATACCCGGTTAACATTTTTTTGTCCATTTTTATCCTCTGTATGACTGTCGTACGGATCCTAAACCGTAAGATTCTCAGGAGCAGTGAATGATGTGGATAGTCTGTTTTCTGTCCTGTACACTGGAGATGTACAAAAACCAGTGCTTGCTCTGCTATGACCTTAACAAATAATACTGAAAAATATAAAATTGGAATGGCAACAATTACCAGTATATTCCAGATGGTTCAAAACTGTGTACTAATTTTCTACCAACAAGTGCTAATAAAAAGCAATTGCTCAGTGAGCCAGGTTACTAGAAAACTCTTCATGAAATGGACTTAATTTCTTCAATACATGCTTTTGTTTCAAGACAATACTTTAATCCTTTCTAAAATACACGTTTTATTGTAATATCAAAGATAACAACAAAGCACTAAAACTCACGTGAAATGGTTTAAGCCTTAAAACCACAACTTGAAAGGGAACATTTGAATTTGGGAAAAGTCTGGAGAGACTGCAGTGGTGAGGCCTTTCTTGCCAACTTAAAGAAAACTAAGTCCAAAGAATGTTCACCCACTTGGGACAATGAACTTTAACTGCCTCCCCCAGCCAAAAGTATAAAACAAAAGAACAAAGGATAAAAATATAGACGAGAACAAAGAGTCTGTGTGGGCTGCCGGTAAACTTGTATGAACTGCTGTGAGTCCTAACGCAGCTGTGATCATTAGAATCTGCAAACCAAATTATAAAGTGGCTGGTTCTTTAAAGTTTAACTCCAGCTATCTTGAAAAATCTACCTGGCAGTAGGAGCTTTTTCTGTCCCTACAAGGGTTGAGTGCTCCTATCTACTCTTCAACACTACTTGAACAGGGCCTGCAACCCTAGCCCCCCTTCACCAGCATCCTCATGTAATTGAAGACGTCAGACAGGGACTTATCTTAGTGGTTAATATTTATTAAAACTGTTTCAAGTTTATTTTGGCTGGCTTCTTAAAATGTACTTACCAACTTTTTTTTCTATTTGGATTTGACTGCTTTGCACCACTTCTAAGTAGTCATTGGTAGTACAAAATGGTGTCTGTCTGGCATTTACAGAAAGAGAATCCTAATTTTAGAGATTATTGGGTATGTTTCTCCAGGTCTATTGACAATGCTGCCAATCTGCCTGTGTGTAAACAGAGTCTGCCTTCTGTACAGGATCCAGGGTGACAGGCTCAGCAGTGTATTTTCATTTTTCTGGATAAAATCAGCCTTGTACTGTTGACCAGTGAAACATGCTACATAGTTTCAAGTAGGACACCTAGTCCATCTCTTTACTTGGCTCATTGTTCTACAGAAAAGAAAGAGTCCTCCTGTGTGTACAACATTTTCCCCATCTCCATCTAAGTTATCCAATAATAAAATCACCAAAAAGAGAATACCCCTGGACTGTTCATTAAGCCAAAAGAGTGACTGAGACCATGTGCGTGGCTGCAGGGCAGTTATTGGGGAAAGAACCCTGGGCATCTTTCTAAGGGCTCCTACAAGGGAAGCGCTACAAAGGGAACAATAATGATCAATGTTAATGTATTGTTTTAAAAAGTGTTTCAACTGATGTTTCATAGTGTTTCTTTTAACTCTCCCACACTCCCACTAGGAGATTTACTAAAACTGGAGCACACGGAATCTGGTGCAGCAGCACATAGTCACCAGTCAGCTTCTGTGCCAGTTCACATACTGTATATGCAGATTGGATGTGGTTTGAACCGCATCCAATCCGCATGACATGTGAAACAACATTGCTTCCTTTGGTGCCTGTTCACATATGTCTGATGCACTGGCGGTTCAGATTCAGTGTGGTTTGAAAAAGAATCACGGTTTCTGAGCAATGCCTTCAGGTTCAGGTGCAGATTACAGGCTATTGACTTCTATGGGAACCATGTCTAAACTGCATATGTGTGAACAGGATAAGATCCTGAGCTAATCCTGTCCTGAACCTGATGTAAACCTGACATAAACTGGTAAACAACTACTGTATTAATTAGTTGTGAAACCTGAACTGCAATCCACATCGCACATGTGTGAATCAGCTCTCCAGGTTTTATTGTCAAGGCTTAATTGAAGAAGATGAAGTTAGAAGGTGATTGGTTACTATGCACAGCTGCATCAGATTCTGTTGTACCAATTTTTGTAAATCTCCCCCATGGCAATCTCGCTCTATCCAAAACAAAGAAATTTATATTTGAAGTACCAACAACCATTAATGTAGATGCCTTATTTATAATTCCCAAGTACAAGGGAAATATTGTATTAACAGTAACACATTGTTTACAGTATTTATCATACATATTTTAAATGATTATTATATTTTTAAAAGCTTGCTTTTCTATGTTTTTATTACTCTATTTTAATTTTTCTGGATAAAATCAGCCTTGTACTGTTGACCAGTGAAATATGCTACATAGTTTCAAGTAGGCCAGTAATTTTTATTTGTTTATTTTTTTTTTTTTACTAAGGCCCCAAATGGACCCAGGCCTCTTCCTACTAGATGTACTGCCTACACTGTGTAGCCCCACTGGCACCTAGCAGCAAGCTTTTCACCTAATGTTCGCTACCCGTGACTCGGTCATTCCTGATGGTATGTGCATTATGAAAACAGATTATAGAAAGTCAGAAGGCAAGATGATATCCTTCACCCAGGCTGAACAAAGAGGATGCCTGTAGCTGAGCTCCTTCCTTCACCACAGAAGGGCCCCCAGTGGATACTTGTCAGAAGGGCATTTTGAAGGGTATTAGTGGAGAGGTTGGGGGCC